CAGTTGTGTATTGCCATTATTTGAATTCGTGCTTCCCATCTATTACATGGAAAAGTCCATTCCTTTGCCCGTTTAATCTGCAGGTGAAATTTTATTTTGACTAATGCTAGTGTAAATCTGAATTGAAATAGTTTGAAGAAATGTAGTCACTCCAATTTACACTTCTGAAAGCCAGCGGAGAACTTGGATCTGTGATTCAGGATGGTCTATGGACTTGACTGTGATCACTTACCCTGGTTTTATACAGATACAATATGAGAATCAAAACCTGGGACTCTTCTCTGCTTTGCTGCAGTGATGAATTCTTCCTGCAGAAAATGATGCAGATGTAATGCAGGTTGGAATAAAATGATCCCTATTGAGGTAGGGTATCATTCTGCGAGTTGCTCTGAGATGCATGAAGTTATCTCTATAAATCAGCAAATATGATTTCCCTGCCTCATTTAGACTGATATTTCTCTCTCTACCCCTTTCTTACCATTACCATTCAAAATATTCTCCAAAATGCTAAAAGCTAAAACTGCATAAAGCCTGGTTTGGGCTTCCCCATGAAAACATTGCTGCAGAACTCTATCGCAGAATCTTCATTTGTAGCTTGTGTTGATAAATTGCCTTTTTTGTTTGGAAGCAGTGATATGTGTGTGGACAAAACCATTTATCACACTTACATTCTATGTATATGGCTTTTTTTCTGGTGGAAAGGTACATGAAGCAATTAAGCATTTTACAGATAAATATACCAGTGCAGTATATGCCAAAGCAAAGATATATGTCTAGAGCCTTGGCTTGAGTTTCTGAAGGCGGCAGAGAGTGCCACTCCAAGCTGTCTTAAAAGATTGCAGTAAAAGGTTTGTGATCTGTATCTAGTAGCATGGGTGACTCATAATAAATGTACTCCAAAGGTGTAGTGCCATGTCCAGCACTGATTGCTCCGACAAATGAGTCCTCCTCTTCACTGGAGTCATTTGTAATCATATAACAGCTTGACTTTCTGTCTGGAAAGGCATAATTTTGTCAGACTGGTTTATGCCACTACATCTCTCACAGCGTTATCAGAGACTATGACAGCTGTTGGTTTCATATTTACTCCCACATTTTTCAGTTCTTTAAACAAATGTTGTTTCTCCTTCTTTACTCTGAATGTTCTAGATGTTGTTGAGGCTTTATTTCCCTAGGAAAAAAAAAAAGCATCCAAAACAATAAACGTGTATTATGAGCACATATATTTTTTTAACAGATTTTACAGATTTCTTTTTCTTACTTACTTGAAGAGCTTCTTTTTTTGCTATTTGGTCTTGGTGGTTACTACTAGTATTATTGGAGCTCCCCTCCAAAGTCTTTCCATTATAAGAACTCTTGCATTATATTCTAAGCTTAGTAGTCGTGATTAAATGGCACTATCTCAGGTAGCTGGGGTATATGAACTGCCTTCAGTAGCTTTGGCTTGTTTCTTGCAAAGAACTAGGAATTTCAGGATCTGGTCCATCATTGATTATAATCTGGCTTCAGTAAGAGAAGAGATTAAATAGACTACAATACTTTGACCAGAAGAACAGGTGACTCAGGAGAGATGTCATATATAGGTCTATAAAATCCTGAATGCAGGCAGGAAGTGAAAAGAGAGTTATTACAATAGCTGCATGAAATTATTAGGTAGGACAGCTAAATAAAGCAAAGAAAAATTTACACAGTGCAGAAGTAAACTCCAGAACTCATTGCCATGTGATGTGAGTATCAAAGTGTAAATGATTTCAAAAAGCAAATAGACATAGTAATGAAAGAAGTATTCATGGGGAGACCACTGAATTTCTGCAGACAGGGAAGAATGCCACTTGCCGCTGGAAAAAGCAGGTGGTAAGCTGCTCAAATTGCAGAGAGAATTGACATTTTAGTATAAGGTTTATATGGCTGGCACTGTAGATAGGCAAAATATAATTATTATTTATGCAGTGTTGTTCAAGAGAATAAGAACTAATGTTTCACTGCTTTTGGAGGAGACAAGTGGAGGCAAGCATTGCTTGTATATGTGAGCTCATGCACGTGCATGCACAAACGTAGTGCATTAAGCTATTCAGGTAAGCAAGTGAAATTCATTCAAACTGTTCACTCCCTGAACTCAGCTTTCTACTTCACCATTTTCATTTTGTGTAACTTCAATAAACTCTGAGTCCATTTATAACTTCTGCAGAATGCTGAAACTTTTGTTCTTACTAAAATTATCCCTCTCCGGTCCTCTAGTTCTTGCATTAGATGTCACAATGTTTTGTATCCTGTTTAATACAACACCTCGTATTTCCTGAGGGAGACTATGCAGTCTTAGGCTGCCTTACTTTTATGACTTTGCGCTTTGTCTTCTGAGTCATTTATAGGTAATGAGTGCATGCAGGGATGTAATGGCCAGTGCTTAACTACTGAGGTAAAATTTTTAGTTCACAAAACTGCAACTGTTGGTTAGATTTTCCAAATGTTGAGATTTGGATTTTCCTCACGAGTAGTCCATTACAATGCATGACCATGGTTCAAATCATGACATTTTAAACTTAAGCAGTGTTTATTCTGGCAGTAACATTATTGAAACCATGGCTGATATCCTGACTCTAAATTGATGGAACAGTGATTTCAAGCATTGGGAAATACTGTGCTTTAGGCCTACCTAGTATTTGAAAGAAGACTGTAGGACTTCACTCTGTATTTTTTGTATGGTGTAAAAGTGTACCTTATCTACGCTTCTCTTAGTCCGTTTGTTTTATATATAGCTCTGTGAAGAATAGTAAAGGGGTATCAGATTTCAGTCTATGCTGAACTGACTATTCAGTTTCTGTTCCCTGGTTTGCGCTTAAATGTTTGAGTTCTGCATAATTTATTTGCAGTGTGCCCCGGGGGAGCCATTGTATCATAGTGTGTGGTTTTGCTGAATGACTGATAAGATTTGCACAAACTTCAGTCATATTCTTTGTCATGAGGGGACATTTCCCTTTTGACATCAAGTCTTATTTTTAACTTAGTTAAGACAATGCGAAATAAACAACCTGAACACATTCATTCATGATACTAATTGCTAGGATTGATATGTTAAAAAGGGAACTGACTATAAAAAATTACAAATTTTTAAAAAATACTTTATTATTTATGCTATTTGCATTAGATTTTCCTAATAACGTAAGAGGGGAAAGCTTTTTGCTTGTTATATATCCCCGATAACTTGAACACAGAACAACCTGCCTATGAATAACAATATTTCCTTGCCTCCCCAAGATCTTTCATTTGTGATAAGCAAATATGACTGAACCTGAGGGTGTGACAAGTGTAGTGAAAGTTTGGAAAGTTTTTTTGTCTAAGCATATATTGTCCCTGAACAAAAGGTGGACATTTTTCAATATTTAGTGGTAAAGTCTGTGTTCGTATTGCCAGTTGGTGCATATAGGTGTGTTTAGATGCAGTTCATCAAGAAAAGAAGGGCTGATGAAAAAAGGCAAAGCTCCTGTAAAGCTCCACTATATACAGGTTGAGAATTGTCCCATTCTGAACAAACAGTATCTTTTCTGTTGGTTATTTTTCTTCTTTGCTGTTAAGAATTTCTTCTGATGTTTCTGTCCTCTTTGCAAACTATTCTTTGGTAGTATTTATTTTTGTACAAATCTGTGAGGTCTTTGTGAATTTTATCACTGCTTAACACTTTGCTTGATATTAGAGGTTCTTTTGCAATCAAGAACAGTATTTAACAGTGTACAGCCTGTGCTGCACATACTTGTATCAAACACTGTAACCCAGTCAACCCCAGCAGAGAGTGCTTTCACTGTTTATTTCAGAAAATGGAAATAACTGTTGTAGGTCTCTCTAACTGAAAAATGAAGGTCTTCCACTTATGTCATGACATGACCCACCCACTGAGGAAAATTTTTCATATGTTTTATAGATTTACATCTTCAGTTGCTCTGCTTAAAATTCTATCTCCAATTTCCTATTTCAGTGAGCAATGACTTTTTTTTACTTGCTGATATCTCTTTCGGAATGGACAGCTTGTCTAAATGGTGGTCTTGTGTTGTGCTTTCCCAAAATATAGGTTGATTTTGAACAGATCAGACACTATTACTGCGTAACCACTGTTAGTTTTACTAACATCACTTTCTTTCTCTGAATAGAATGGCTTTATCATTACTAGTGAAAATCTGTACTTAATTTTGAACGGAAAAATCTTTTTTTTTTTTTTCAAAAAAGACACTTCCCGATATAGTGATTGCAGTTAGACCTTAACTCCATTGCAGTTAGGGTATAGTTTCAATGAATATTCACTCTTTGATATTTTTAATTGACATTTTTATAGGTGGCTTACACAAGTGAAAAATATGCATACAATGAAAAGTATTTATGATGTAAATACCTCACTGTTAAAAAACCTGAATTATAAAAGTAGATATGCCAAGCATTAGATATGCAAATTTTATAATCACATAATTTACCTTCTGCAGTGTAATAACTCCACAATTAATCATACTGTAACTGTCTATTCCTACCATCTAACTGTGCTAATCATGCTATGAAGGCTAGTGGATAAGTATAGTTGAAATGTCAGACATTATATGATTTTATGATATACTATATATAAATCACAAAAATTCATTAAATTAATGAACAATACAGTAGAAATAGTTGATCAGAAAGAAATCTGTATCAACAGAAAAGGGTAAATAAAGCTCCCTTCTGTGCATTTGTGTGTCCATATCTCCACACAAAGAAAAAGAAGAATAGAGATATATCTTAGGGGTAATTTCTTCACCTAGAGTGCCTTTAGGTCATGTTATTTTGCAATGTACATGTCTCAAAGACAAGCATTGGTGGTAAATGCAATGATAACTTATTTTGACAAATGGAAGATTTGTGGTTAAAACGCACAGAAGTGACCCAAAAAATGATGCCCTTACTTGTCACAGATGTGAAAGAATCCAGTCTGGAGGAGCAATTTACATGTGAAATCAATGCACTCTTCTGTGTAATTTCAGAATTTCTATGAAGACACCACCAAGAAATTGTGCTCAGTTCAAGCTGCTGATGTTTCCAGATTACAAGGTAGTTGTCAAAATGATTTGGTGCACCGCAAGAATGAGAAGGACGTGACTAGGACAACTACATTAGTGGAAACCGGTGTGATTAAAGGTCAGTCAAGCTTTATGATTTGAGTATAATTAATGTAACAGAACTTAACCCTAGCCCTGATAAATAATTTACTTGCCAGACTATTTTGCGTGATTTCATTTGGAATCTGTAGATTAATCAAAAGAGGTAAAATGTGAACATCTCTGTTCTTCCACCATAAATGCCATAAGGCAAATTCATCCGAGCTCTCAACAGCAGCATGATATTAAACTCTGTTTGACACTGCAGCATGAATATTCAGCAGTTTTCAGAAGCCAGCTTGTGTTGAAAAGATGCAGTTTCCTTTTGCTTTAGGAATCTACACATCATCTGTTCTAAAAAATGCTGATTCTGAGAAGCACTGCAGATGAGCAAGCAATTTACATTAAAGATAGGAAGATTTCTTCAACTCATATTTTTATGTTTTGAAGAAAAAGTGGTATTGAGCAAAATATTTGACCGTTAATTATTTTCACAGTCATCCTTTTCTTAGATTTCCCAAGTATTTTTGATAGCTGCTTAGATTTTTTTTTTATCTTTTAACTTTTTCCTTTCTCAGAACGTATTGAAGTTGAGAAGCTAAATGATATGAGGACAAATCTAAAAGGCTTTGAAGTGAATATAAAAAATTCAATTGATTTCACTAATCTGTCAGTCATGCGTTATATCTGACACATGAACACGTCCCATTAATCGCAGCACTGGAACATTTGGAGAACTAGGGCATAAATTTTTGCTCTCGTTACATTTGTTAACTGATACTTGATATTACTATCAAAACTTCCCATAAAATTTTTCTTTACTGTCTCATCATTCCATGTGTAACCCTCCCAGAAATGATGGCTTGTGTATTTGAAACCGTGTTCAGTGAAACTCTTCCAAATGCAACATAAACAGCTTTTATAGTGAAGAATCACTGTAGCATGTTGAATATCCAACAGTCCTCATGGGTGTGAAAGTTGATTATTTGGGGACACATTTTCAAATGGCATTTTGGTATTCAGCTGCTTTTGAAAGATAATATTAAATATGTTATTTTGTGGCTTTGAAAATCTCCTTGTCGCCTCCATTTTGTCAGTGCTTAATGATTTGAGTAGACTTTGTAGCAGTGAACAGTGAAGCTTCCCATTGCCAGCTCTGGAGAATGATATCCTCTGTTTAATCCCTGCAAGACAAATAATACGAAGATGGGTTGATGATTTACAGTCTTGAGCCAAGGCAACTACTTGCAAAATACCAGGGCTTGACTTTGAAAACTAGTGTTCATGCTACAGGGATCAGTTGGATTAACTATAGGGATTAATCTCTGTGGGGTAAGGCAGGCATGAGAGACACCTGAAGAAAACACGCCTAAGGCATCCTTACAGAAAGAAGTCAGACTTGCAATTTGTGCTGGGGACCGGCTTTTCCCCAACCGCAGAACTCGGGGCTTGGGTAGCTGCTTGACTTCTTCGCGTTTAAACTCCTCACAGACGTGGAAAGTGACACAGGCTGCAGTCATGTAATCGTTTTATAATCAAGATTTTTCAAAGATTCTTCTGAACCCAGCGGCGCAGTTCAGCGCGTTCATGCAGCCAGAGCGCTATCTCTCAGGGACTTCCTGTGCTTCCGCTGCAGGAGCGGTGCAGTACTTTCTAAATGGGGATTCCCCCAGTTGAAGAAAGAGGTTGGGAGATACTGTTACTAACGCTTCAGGTCAGGAACAGCGTTAGGAGGTGGCTGCTCTTTCCATTCTTTATGTTACAATCATCTTCGTAGTTTGAGACTTTGTTACTGCTTTTGTATCTACATATGGCCATAAAACTGTGACTGTGTTCATTTCGGCTGGTGCTGAATTGTCTTTTCCTTCTCGACAGGATGGATTTAAAGCAGGAGGGGAATGCTCCCCTCCCCCCATACCAGATGCAGTTTGAGATCTCAAAGGGAAAAGAAGCAACAGACAGTATGAACAGAGTCTTATTAACTAACCTTAAGATGTGCATCTCTTAATATAGGACCTGTTGTGTCTTCAACAAGGAGAAGGTTTCCTATCCCATTTGTAAAGGCTTGCTGGGATAGTAGTTAGTCTTCACTTCATGCTTTGGGATTGCTGACTGCGTCACTGTTGGGATGCTCAAGTTGTAGAAGCAGCACTCACGTCTCTGATGTTTTAGATAGACATGCTTTCTGTCTTTCTCACTTTCTTCCAGTGATCTACTGTTTCACTGGATTAGTTGTCATGGCAGGATGCTACTTAGGATCTGTGCTTTGCCTAGCTAGCCTGGAATGACTTGCAAAAGGTTTTCTGATTCTCAGGGTTTCATAGGCTGGAAGGGACCTCTGGGGATCCTCCAGTCCAACCTTTCTGCTCAGAGCAGGTTCAGCTGGAATAGGTTGCCTAGGTCTCTGTCTAGCTGAGTTTTGAATATCTTCAAGGATATTCTGCATCTTCTCTGTGCAACCTGTTCCACTGTTTGGCCACACTCACAGTAAAAAAGTGTTCTCATGTTTAAGCGAAATCTCGTGTGTTTCAGTTTGTGCCCATTTCCTTTTGTTCCGTCACTGAGCATGACTGAGAATAGGCTACCTCTACCTTCTTCACATTCGCTCATTAGATATTTATACACACTGATGAGATATCCTCTGAGCCTGCTCTTCTCCAAATTGGACAGTCCTAGCTCTCTCAGCATCTCCTCGTATAACCCTCCAGTCCCTTAGTCATCTTCATGGCCCTTCGCTGAACCTGCTCCCCTATATCCATGTCTTTCTTGCACTGGGAAACCCAGCACTGGAGACAGTACTCCAGGTGTGGGCTCACCAGTGCTGAGTAGGGGGGAAAGATCATCTCCCTCAACCAGCTGATGACACTTTTCTTAATGCAGCCCAGGAAGTTAGCCACCTTTGCTGTGAAGGTGCATTGCTGGCCCATGTTCAATGCGTGGTCCACCAGGACCCCAGGTCCTTCTCTGCAAAGCTGCTCTCCAGCTGCTCCTGGTGCATCAGGCTATTCCTCCCCATGTGTAGAACTTTGCATTTCCTTTTCTTGAACTTCATGAGGTTCCTCTCAGTTAGCCTATCAAGGCCCTTCTGAATGGTAGTACAACCATCTGATCTATCAACCGCTGCTCCCAGTTTTGTGTCATCGTCAAACTTGCTGAGGATACACTCTCCCATCAGCCAGGTCTTAATGAAGAAGTCATATAGTACTGGCTCTGACATTGACCCAGGGGTACTCCATTAATGACTGGCCTCCAGCTGGACTTTGTGCTGCTGATCACAACCCTTTGAGCCTGGCAATTCAGCCAGCTTTTAATCCTTCACCCTCTCCATTTAGCTAGTCATTTAGTAGCCAAGATTGCCCTTGACCCTCACATCCTCAACCGGTTCTTTCTTGTTTGTAAGTACGAGGCGCAGCAGAGCATTTCCCTGCATCAGCTCCTTCGTCACCTGTGTTAGGAAGTTGTCATCAATTCACTCTAGAAACCTTCCGGATTGTTTATGCCCTGCTGTGTTTTCTCTCCAGCAGATATCAGGCTGGTTCAAGTCCCCCACGAGGACCAGGGTCTGCAGACGTGAGGCTTCTTCCAGTTGCATGAAGAAGGCCTCATCTACTTCTCCTTCTTGATCAGGCAGTCTGTAGCAGACACCCACTATAATATTGTGCATGTTGGTCTGCTCACCAGTTCTGACCTGTAAAGCTCTGAGCTGGCCCCTCGCCCGTCCCCAGGCAGTGCTCCAGGCACTCCCCCTGCACTCTCATGTAAAAGATAACTCCTCTTTCCTGCTATCCCAGCCTGTCAAGAGCCTATCTCCATCCTGTGTCACACTCCAGCAGTGTAAGCTATCCTACCACGTCTCTGTGATCCCAATGAGATTATAGCTGTGCAACTGCATGCAGACTTCTAATTTCTCTTATCTGTTCCCCAGTCTATATACACTAGTTTGGAGGCACTTCAGAGAGGGACTCAGTCACACTGACTTCCCAGAAAGGCTATGAGAGGTTTCACCGTAATGCTTTTCTGCAGGCACCTCCTCATTTATGGGCATGTGCTTGGAGTGACCAACTTCAGTCCTGTTCGTATGAGATCTCTCCTGTTCACAGTCAACCACTTCCTCACTGTCTTGTTGGTCATCCTCTGCCTACCTGGTTGTTCTTAGTTTAAAGATCTCTTTAAAAGGCTAGCTAGCCTGTCAGCAAAGATGCTTTTGTCCCACTTAGCCAGATGGATCCCATCTCTTCTAAGCAGTCCTTGACCCCCAAAGAAGGTCAAATGGTCATAGAAACTGAAACCCTGTTCTAAATACCAACTGCACAACCATTTGTTGACCCACAGGATACATCCACTCCTTCTCAAACTCTTTCCTTTCACCAGCAGGATTTAAGAGACACCAGCTGGGCCCTCATGCCCTTGCCCTTCACTTCCAGAGCCAGTTAGTCACACTTGATGCTCTCCATGTCTCCACTGGGAATATCATATCATTCGTTACTCCAGTGGCTGCTGGGGACTGTGCCCTGGTGTGCGTTACCACCACTCCTGAGGATATGTGTGCTGGTCTGAGCAGAGTTGCTAGGCCTTCTGTACAAACTGCTATGCCTATTGACTGCCTCTATTATCTGTGCTGTGGCCCACCACTTTCATGGACCTTTCTCCAGCACCTGCTAAAAGGATGCTTGAACTTCCCTGATCAGGAGTCAGCTGTGAACAAAAGCGCAAAATAAGCTTGTGTTAAGAAGAGCTGTCAGAGCTCGATAGAAGTTGCTAGAGCTTGCTGGAAGTCATGGCCTCCTGCAGCTATCCTCACCTGGCAGCAGCAGACACCCTGGGGTTCCTCAGAGTGTTCCCAGGAGGCCCCTGACAATCGCAGACAATGTCACAACAGAAGATCAAGAAGCTTTAGACCCAGAGCGCAGAAACTGCTGCACAAACTGCTGTGTTTGTCAGCTGGCTCACTTAGCTGCACTGACAGCACAGTTTTTGCCTTGCTCACACTGCTCACCTTTCTTGTTAGCTCATGCAGTTTGCAGTTATGAACACCAGAAA